CAATACCTGTGCATTAAACGGTTTTAATGCATACCTGGCAGCCAATCAGAATCGAGTATTCAGACAGACCATGGAATAATAAGCATTATTCAAGCCAATGACAAAAAAAGAAGAAAAGGAAAAAGGTTTTGAAAAATATTTATACCATTCAAGTTTACATTTCATGACTCTGAATAACATTTTACAAATAACCTTTTCTCATTACAAAAAGATCACTTTTTAAGAGCCTTCTTGACATAGACACATTTTTCTGCATGTTTTTGCATGCTTAATACACCACATTACTTTTTGTTGGTCACGCCACATTACTTTATTTTGGCAGACACATTTTTCTCAAATATGCATTGAAGAAATATTAATGTTTTTAAAAGAAATAATAATGAAGGAATATGCCAAATTCCTTAAGGTTTTTATTTCAAGAGTTTCATTCTTGTAATTATTTTTTTCCCTTCATTATGATATCAGGAAAATTGTACCACCCTGATATTTTTCTTTTTGCCCCTAAATATATATTGAAATCAGTTAATGAGCATCATGCAATTTAATATGTAATGTTGTTAATTTTTTTAAATGAAAGTTATTATCAGTTGTTAATGAGTAAATCTAGCTTTAGCTTTAGAGTCTGAATGGGGGGTCCCTAAACCTGCAAAGGCTGAAAACACTTGATATACACAATTAAAAAGAGATCTCTGAGAAGTTTGAAAGGATTGGTTGAGAGACGCCCACACTAATAAAATGAAACAATATAGGGTTTCAGTGAAAGCCCCTACTGTCTCAAACACGCTGTTTTTCTCCTCAGTAAGGCACTGTAACATCCCTAGAGACCGTCTGTATAAATCTGCCGTAGTTTAGTCTCAAGGCACGTTGAGTGGCTGTCTCAAAGAAAAGCATACAGACTTCACATACTGCTGCAGAGGAGTAAAGAAAGAGCATTCTGGGAGAATGATGCAGCTCAGCGGCTCTTTATGTAATCGAGCGCCTGAATGCCAAATGCTACTTTTGTGAAAGAGAAGAGGTGGCGTAGGAGAGGATGACTTGTGTTGAATGCACATTAACTTAAACATGTTTTTTTTTTAATGTGCCACTTTCATTTTTCTTTCTCTCAGGTGCTTTACCTCTCTGTCTGATAAACTTCCTCTCTTTAATGTGCTCTCTCTATCTCTCCCTCTGTCTCTCTTTGATCCTCAACCTACTTTACTCCTTGCCCACGTGGTGTTACCTCTCAAAACACTTTCTGGCTTGCAGTGGGAGGCAGTGCAAAACGAGGACATATTTTACTATCTTATTTGTTGTTGATGAAGTGTGACAGAGCTTCTGTCAGTCTGTCACTCATCAGCTCACACACACACACACACACACACACACACACAGACAGACAGACAGACAGAGCAGGTCAATCTCAGCACTTGTAGGAAAAGTGCTCCTGTCCGTTGCTGACATTTTGTCTGCATGCTTGTTATTTTCGATTAATGCAAAATAACAAATTAAGCTTGTTATTAAAATCACCAATTTTATTTTTAATTGGATGGATTTTCATATTCAAAGATTCAGGTTTGCTATTTAAAACGTCCAGATTTTTTGTAGTTTGTAGTTTTTGTAGAAAAGGTTGAGAAATTTCGAAACTCATGAAGAAATGCATGAAGGCTCTTATTATCAGTGTGTCCTACTGCCTAAAAATAATAGCCCCACACATGACGTGATATTGCGAGATATTATCGTGGCCACAAATTAAGAATTTGTTCCTTCACTTTAGTTAAATCGTAGTCAGGAAATCGTGTTGTGCTAATTTATTCCCTCAGTTTAGTTGAAATGTGGCCATGATTAACCTACATTAAAATAAGAGAACAAATTAATACAACATTGCCATGATTTAACTAATACAAGGGAACAAATTAATCAAATATGGCCGTGACTTGCTAAGCAGTGGGAACAAATTCTTCTTTTGTGGAGACGACATTTATTTATTTTTAATTTTTTTGTACTAGTCGTGTGAAAAGACAATGCAATATCCCTCATGCTGTTAACACTTGTTATTGGCCCCTTGTTGAGTATCTTGTTTACTCATGTCCTGACTGTATCAGGAGTCTCTGTTCTTCTTGACGGGAAGCTGAATTTCATTGCTTTTATGATGCTCGGAGATGCAGTACACTAGATCAGGGTAATGTGTTTGCCCTGGGCACCTCCATGTGTGTCTTTCATGTCTGGACTTCACTCTTGTGTTACTGTGGAAGCCCCTTCTCTTTCTTATTTCAGATTTGAGATATCTAGCCAGAATAATACAGCCACAGAACCTCAATTAACATCTGTGTCATATATTCATCTTGTCTGGCAGTCTCTAAACAAACCTATTTCATGTTATTTAGAGTAGTTTGTCATCTACCTGGTGATGATTGTATGATGTGCCGATAAATTCAGTTTATGAGGCTCGAATTTAGGTTTTGTTCTCTATTCTACGCAGTTTCCATGGTGATGGGCATCCCCACGGTGAAGCGGAAAGTAAAGTCATACCTGTCAGAGACGCTTCATTCACTCATCGATAAACTCTCGGCGGAGGAGAAGCTTGACTGTGTCATCATAGTGTTCGTGGGAGAGGTGAGCATTTTTCTCATTGGTTTGAGAAAGTGTGTTTGTGTGTGAGGATTGTGGCTGGCTCTGACTCCAAGTTTGCGAAGTATTTTTCATAAGCAACTTATGATGGAAATTGCCATGCTCACACTCAAACACTGACTAAACACGTGTCTCTCAACGAGGTTCTAATGGTGCCACTGACAACCGGGAAAAAGTGTTTTAAGGGCATTTTGTTTACTTTTTGTCCAGGCCTTTCCCCCTTGGGCATCCCTTGCACGGGAATTATTTAAATTCGGGATATTGTGTATGTTCCCACAAGAAAACTCAAGGAAGAACCGAAACAGCACTTACTGGAGTGGACTTTGTGCTTTGTAACTTTGCTGACCGTTTCATGCTCAAACAGCAGCATTATGCACTAAATGATGTTGAAAGTGTACAAAGCATAATTGGACCTCTTTAAACAGTTGTAGTTCACACAGTGGCACTGTATCATGTTTGCTTTATGTTCAGTGTAAGATCTGAGTTGTGAGACCACCCGTTGAGGCGTGGTTGGGCGGTTCACGCTGAGAACAGGGGTCTCTATGCTTTTATGCTGCTGTCTGAATGGTAGAGCAAGAGGAACAGACACGCAGACATACCCGTCAGGATTTGTCTCCCGCTTCATCTGTTGCCACTATTTTGAAGGTCTGAACAAAGAGTGGGAGGGAAAAATCTTAGTAAATCTAAAAGTAGAAAACGCTGGGTGATATTATGTTAAATATCTCTCTTTATTTATAGCTTTTTAATGGTAATTTGCATATGTTTTGAAATTGATTAAATGGGTGATTTTGGCCAAACAGACATTGTTGGCAGCAGTATTTACCCACATTTTTAACCGAACCATTTAAAAATATACACTGCTGTTTGTGGTCAGTAAGATTTTTTTGATGGAAATGAATACTTCTGTTCATTAAGAATGCGTTATATTATTCGAAAGTGACAGTAAAGACATTTAAAATGTTACAGAATAGGGTTGTGACGGTGAGGAAATTTTCCCACCGGTTAATCGACATGTGACAACACCGGTAATACCGGTATCACTGTGGGGGCGGGGGCGGGGGCGTTCCCTCTTTTCCTGCTTTCCTTCGCTTTTAAATAGCTTGTACCGGTATCACCGTCAGCACCGTCTATCGCGGCAAGCCTATTACAGAAGATTTCTGTTTCAAGTATTTAAGTAATTTCTGTTCACCATTAATACTAATCAAATCAGCATATTAGAATGATTTCTGAAGGATCATGTGACACTGAGGACTGGAGTAATGATGTTGAAAATTCAGCTTTGCCATCACATTTTAAAATATATTCAAATAGAAAGCAGTTATTTAAAATTGTAATAATAGTTTGCTGTATACTGTATATAATTATACATAATTACACCATTTACAGTATTTCTCATCAAATAAATGCTGCCTTAATGAGCTTGTTTCATAAACATAAAAAAAATCTTGCTTATCCCAGACTTTTAAACAGTAATCTATATTTGTAACAAATTTGAACAGATTTGTTTTTTTTTACGTTCATATATTATAAACTTTACCTTGGTGGTTTCCATCAAGATGACAATTACTAGTGTTTGCTACTGGAAAAAAAAAAAAAAATAAATAAACTTGATTTTATAATATACAAAGAGGCTGTTTTTAAATCTTTCATAAGTTAAAATCTTTCTGCATTAAGAGAAACTACTTAAATATTTACACTACCGGTCAAAAGTTTGGGATCAGAATGATTTTTAATGTTTTTTACAGGAGTTTCTTATGCTCATCAAGGCTGCATTTATTTGATCAAAAATACAGGAAAAAAATTTATATTGTGAAATATTATTATGATGTAAAATAACATTTTTCTATTTTAATATACATTAAAATCTAATTTACTCATGTGATGCAAAGCTGAATTTTCAATATCATTACTCCAGTCTTCAGTGTCACATGATCCTTCAGAAATCATTCTAATATGCTGATTTATTATCAGTGCTGGAAACTGTTGTGCTGCTTCATATTTTTTTGGAACCTGTGATACTTTTTTTCAGGATTCTTTGATGAATAAAAAGTTAAAAAGAAGAGCATTTATTTAAAATAGAAATCTTTTCTAACAATATACACTACAGTTCAAAAGTTTGGGGTCAGTAAATTTTTATTCTTTCTTTTTTTGAAAGAAATCAAAACTTTTATTCAGCAAGGATGTGTTAAATTTATAAGTGATAGCAAATATTTATATTGTTAGAAAAGATTTATATTTTAAATAAATGCTGTTTTTTAACTTTTTATTTATCAAAGAATCCTGAAAAAAGTATCGCAGTTTCCAAAAAAATATTTGGCAGCACAACTGTTGCCAACATTGATAATTCTAATAATAAATCAGCATATTAGAATGATTTTGATTTCTTAAGGATCATGTGACACTTTATACTGGAGTAATGGCTGATGGAAATTCAGCTTTGCATCACAGAAATAAATTATATTTTAAAGGATATTAAAATAGAAATCATTATTTTATACTGTAATGACATTTAGCAAGATTACTTTTTTTTCTGTATTTTTGATCAAATAAATGCAGCCTTGATGAACTTCTTTAAAAAACATTACAAGTCTTACTGATCCCAAACTTTTGACTGGTAGTATATAAAGTATATAATATCACAAAACAAGAAACTTATAAAAACAATA